GAAATAGGGTGAATACATCTCATTACACTGATTTACTGGTAGTCTCGAAACCCTACTTTCATACGAAAATCGCATGTGCCAAGAACTCTTATTCATGCTCTATTGACAGTGTCGAAATCTACTTCTTATGAATGTAAAGCTACCAAGAAAGCTGAGGGTTCTGCTGAGCGATTCGAGTCTTGAATATATACTCAGCTCTTGACTCGATGGTTCGTGGGTACGAACCCTCTGCATCCCGGGGTTAGGGACAGTATTGCATGTGCCCATGTAGTAGGCAACCAATGGTTGGCCAGTTGTCTGACCGACAGTGGAATACATGTTTGTGTTTGTATGTGTGTGTGATAGAAAAGAGAGAGAGAGTGATTGTTTTTGTTGGAATACACTCACCTGAGACTTTGCCTTAGATAGACGGCTCACCATATCCTTTTAAGTGGGAGAGAAAGAGGAAACGAGAAGGTAGAGCTAATAACTGATGGTACGTGCACTTTTTCTGTGATTGCCTATCACCTCAAGTACCGATGCCGTCTGGATGGCGAGGTGGTGACAAGTGGAGATGGAGAAAGAAGAGTCGAGGGTGCGGTTTCGAGGAGATGAACGAGAGGGTCGAGAGGGGAATTGGTTGTCTGGCGGCTGGTGCGACATGTAGGCACGGGCGACAGGTTTTGAAGTGTGCTTCGCATGGATTTGTCACACTTTCTGTGAACGGCATCAAGAAGCCCGTCCCCTCCGTTACAGGATGGAAGACTGTCGCGAGGAGTGCACATGCCGGCACTCCCCTCCCGGCCATTTAGGGTGGTTTGGGTCGAGTCTACGCGTCAAGACGAGAGAAGGAATGGAGTCTGGTCGGCCAGGCGACCTTTTCGTCTGTAGATTGGTTGGCGTAAATACAGTCAACTTGACTTGTGCTCGAGCCACCGCCTCGGTCGGTTACACAACCCCACTTGGCTTTAAGTGCAGCTCAAGTGAACCACCGACTGCCTGAGGGATCAACCAGCAGACAATTTGACCGCCCGACCAGCCGACCAGCCGACCAGCCGTCCGACCGACAGCCCGACCGCTCAACCCTTCATC